ATTCGGGGCTTCGTTGCCCAACATTTTACCAAAATTTACCGGATTTGTCGTTATTAAGCTTTATCAGGACTAGACTAGATGTTTGTTCAATACTTGAGGAGTGCTAAGTTGTTATATAGAATAAGCATTTTGACAGAGGTAAGGTTTTTTTTCAGCAACATTTGTCAACATTGCACGAAACGTCTTAATATAAACAAATTGTCAATGCTCCAGCAAACACTAATCAACATAAACATTTTATGGTGTTTTTGATGGAAATAACGATAGATCTATATCCATATATTGATTCAACGTGTTCTGGATGCAAATCCTGTTTGCGATTGTAATAATCACGTACAAGAAATAATGACGTGGGTGGGGAGGGTGGGGAAAAATTGACAGTTAACAGGACACTGCATGAAAAGTGACAAATGAAAAGTGATAATCTCATAGTCTTCCTCCCATTCATTATTATGAATCAGCTTTACTTTTGTTTTCCAATAACTTGCAATAACAGCTCATGATGCATGGTCGTGTTGAGAATCTTGGGTCAAAGATGCTGAGTGGAGATCTCATGATCAATGTGCCACGCATGCGTTCAAGAACTATTGAAAATATCCAGATTTGGACCTAAGGTAAGTGCATATAATTGTTTCCCCTGAACCCCTATATTCTGTCAGGCTCTGAGCATGGTAGAACCACAAAAGATATTTATAATAGAATAGATAAATTTACAGAACAGGTTTATTATGAGTTTGTAGAGCAATTTTTTCTTATAAGAAGGCAAAAAGGCAATTTGTTATTGTTACACAGTGCTATTTTCTTTTTTTGAATCCAGTGCTTTCACAAGAGAAGGCAATGCCTATGCACAATCACAAGAAACCTATTCTGAAAATAGTATTTACAAGAGAGCACAGGAATAAGAGACAAGGGATGATTGGGGTGGGAAGAGTTGCAATAAGAATGATAAAGTAATAGAAAGAAATCAAAGAATAGCTGTCTTCAGACTTTTGATATATACCTCCAGACTCGTACCCAGTCACTTCTCCGGCTTTTTTTAGAGACGCGCAATGCATCAAGGGAAGGGCGAAGGGAAGTTACTTTTTCTCCCGCCTTCCCATCAACCTCTTCGAGCGTAAGTAACGACTGGGTACGAGTCTGATATACCTCGCTGTTCTTTTTCAGATGAAACACTCAACAAGGCTAAAACCAGAATCAACAGCATGGAGACTATAAGAATAGTAATATTTGTTATCCAAACAAAAACAAAAAACAAAACAAAAAAAACAGGATTTGTCATTTGTATTAAACAACCAAATAAAAGAAAAAAATGAGTTTATGTTTCGTTTCAAATATGCATTTTGTGTAATTGACATTGGTCATTTTGAAAAGAAACACTGCAACGTCAAGATCTCATGATCGAGTTGACTTCGAGCCTGTGTGTGGTAGAAATTCTATCATAGCCTTTTCCATCCCTTTGTAACTAATTTGCGCAACACAAATTATGCTCACTTCTCTTGACCAATGCTTTTTGCTTCTGTATGTTTCTGTATATTTTTTCACTCTTATAGACCCTTATACTATCATAACGCGCGGAAAAACGCATCTGGAAAAGTTTTATGATTACCGAAGCAGCCCCTGCCCCCCATGATGCCTGTTTTGATATCTTGTATTGGGTTTATCGTTAACATCCCTGACCTTTCATCAGTCAAGTCGGAGATATCGTTATGTACACTTCGAGGGGAAACCTAGTCGCTGTAGGAGTTTTCTTTTTGCTAGTTTTTGGATCCAAATCAAGAGGTGAGAAACTAGATTTATAGTACAAGCTGAGTACTATTTCGTAAAAGCTTTTCTAGGCAAATTGACAAGTTTATTTGCTAGTTTRTTGGTAACATTAGACACAAGCACAGACAGGTAAACAAACGTTACCAAAAGAGCTTCAGCTCATAAGAGTCTTAAGCTTCAATGATGGTATTTTCAGCTAGATCGGTTATTGAAACTTTTTAGAATCAAAGCATTGTTAGTAGCTTGATGTGAAGGAWAACTAAAAACATCGGCCGACGTTAAGGTTAATTTTTCATTGTTGAATCTTGTAAGTTATTAACATTATTAATAGGAAGGGTTGTACAATTACAAAGAGTAAGAAATTGAGTAGCTTTATGTGCCGTCMAACCACCACAGTAAACTTGTACAAATTCCCTGTCTTATTAAGAGCGCGACATCTCATCACACACAAAAATCGACTCCCATCTCCATACAGGTTGACGAAAGCTTTTCCTGCTTTGGCGAAAATTAACAAAATAATCAATGTAATTATAGTATTGTTAAACTAGTAAACTTTGCATGTTCTTATTATTCATCATTCATTCAAATATTGTAGTGTTGTTTTCAATCCCACCCATTCATTTCTCAATATTTTTTTCGTCCCATTTTCATTGCTTTGTCATTATTTATCGTCCATAAAAATAAGACCTAAGTTACCAATTTTATTAGGATTAGAGTCTCTATGGCCTGCAGGACAATATGGCCTCGTTATGCCATTGTCTGGGTGTCCACTAGCTCAGTTTATGTGGCAGACAGGATGGAGGTTTCAAGACACTGAAGACAAAACACCCTCGAACGGGCGATCAGACAGTCTTCACATCGAAGGATCTGTAGGATTTAGTAGCGTCAACAAATCATTTTGTATGAAAATTAATACCTCACAAGACAGTAGCTTGCAAAAAACATGGCCCAAAGGTAAATGACAGTCTATTGGGCTTCCTGTGTCCCTTKTGCGATGCAGGAAGCCCAACATAGCTATTTAAAATTGGGATGGGAACTGTTGCTGGACTAGTTCTTCCTCTAAATCTTGCAGGTAAATACTGCATTTACAAGAAAGGACCTTATTGCCCTCAAGGTTTACAATCAGGATTAGTCACGTGGGATGACGAAGACTCAGAAAATACAAACAGCCAATCAGGTGCTCTGCCTGAAGGTTATTACTCAAGCTCACGAACAACCATTCAATACTGCTGCAGTATAGAAGGTACCAAGACCACGCCCATCTCATTACCCATTGAGAAGCCATTCTATTTGCTTGCATACAACTCAAAGCAATGTCAGCAGGTTAAGTGGGCGTTGGCTACACGTGAATGGATCTACTATGACACTGAAAATGGCGTGAATAACGATGGAAAGTACGGMAATTATCCTTATGAAGCTAAGGGCGGAGTTGACGGTCATACCATTCATTATTGCTATTATACTAGTAAGTACAACAAAGGTTTTTATCACTCTCTTAAACAGGGAAGCCATATCACTAGTGTGTCATAACAAGACGCGATGCGCAGACATTTCAGTGTCAACCTTTTCTCTAAAAGTGATTGCGGTTCAAGTATGGTTGTAATGTTGCAATAAAATCTATATTTAGAGTACGCGAAACACGTACGAAATGACATGAAACTGAAAGAACATTTCTGCTTATCAACTGAAATTATATAAACATTTTTACAGRTTGTAAGTACATACTCAATGCTACTTCCGGTGTGTTCCAGTCCCCTAACTTCCCTAATGAGTACCCAGATGGCCAGGTCTGCTCGTGGAGGATCACGGTATCGTCYAATCACGTCATAAATCTGCGATTTACGAATTTTTCCTTGCGTTCCCCCGGTGACGTTGTGCAGGTATATGATGGTTTCAACGACAGYKCARCATTCTTGGGTAGTTACCATGGTGTTAGGGTGCCTAGCAACCTCAAGTCGTCATCTAATTCTYTGTATGTGGTGTTTCGAACTGATGATGGATTGAGTGGCATGGGATTTAAAGCTCATTATGAAGGCATTGATCCTAGTGGTATGAAATCAGTTATTAAACTATGAAATAATTATTACCACCCTTACTATCATCATCATTAATAATTTGTAATCAGCATCATTACTAGAAACAAAATGGTGGGAACTAGTGGTAAACTAAAAACACACAGACAGACAGATGCTGATAGCTGGAATTGTATGATTAGTGTGTATAGTGCTACCCACCAAATGAATCCTTATCATCAGATAAAACAAAARTCTATGGATGGGAAWCWTTCTTTGTCAAGATTAAAACTTTATCCACCATTTGAAAAACTGTCCCTGAACAGTAACAGGTGGTTTGATATCATTGCAATTAACATCATCACCATTTAATAAATTGTCATCATAATCATAAATTGTAACTCTTCTAATAATGTCATTATTATTGAGGATATCATTATCTTTATTGATGATCATATGAATCATAATAGGCGATGGCCAGTCATCTACAAGTATTACACACTCCAAAACAATGACTTCTACAACTGCCCCAACAAGAGAAAGCACACTTAGTACTSCAGACATTTCTTCACGTTCTTCAGTAACCGATCCTAGTCAAGATGGTAAAGTGTCTTGTTTAAAAGAGTCAAAAGCCACTGTACATACTGCCTCAATTGTTGTACCAGTAATTTGTGTGATAATATGCATCTTGATTGCTTCAGCATTGATTTATCATTGGAGGTATGTAAGAAAGGGTACATGCACTGCGATGTTAGGTTAAAAGGAGTGGGAGTAGGTTGTAAGTCATTAGTCTTCCTTATCAATCTCTATGCSATACTGCAATGCATTACATTTAATGCATGAAAAGAGAGACTCTGTTAGCAGCATACCCCAATATATGTTGGCTAAAGGCATCTTACTTGTATTTTCTTGTATTCGACTGCGTCTCGTGCGTACTTTTTTGTTCTCACTACATTTTGACGTCATCTGTGTATCTATTAGAGTACACACGCACAGAAAAATGAGATCTATTTGTTAACTATCATCCCATTTTCTTTCTTTACATTAGGAAAACAAAGAAAAGAGAAAAAGATATGACTATAATGTGAGTTTTATTGGCATCACCGCCCAACACATGCATGTAGAACTGTACTAGCCACTTAACATATTCACATACCATTGTCTTGTTTATTACCCAATAACTGTTTTAGGATCAAGATGATAATCTGATTGATGTTGAGACCAAAGTATGCGAATACATTATCATCGTCCACACTTTTATGCATTGCGCTGCAAAGATTGTTTTTAAGTCTGACTATATCATGATTTATAACCTGTATGTAGATATCAAGCTAAGACGGCAAGYAATCCTTCCTATTTTGGGTAAGTCATTTGAGCATCAATGTTGCCATGGTTACAAAACTCCAACAYGCCACCTWAAAAAACAATCTACTGAACAAAAACCTTCCTTTCAGTACTAAAATAGTGAAAAATAAGCACATCAAAAATGAAGATGAGGTTTCTATTGCACCAAATGAAGAAGCAAAGGAAGAAATCTACCAAGAAGTGACAGAAAAAAGAATTGACAACCCTCTGTATGAATCACAAGATCATCTTGACACAGGGAACCCAATTTATCAATCAACACCTGATAGTACATACGACAGGTATGCATGATAATATTATTTACTTTCAGCTAGTCAAATAACTAGATCAGTGCCATGACACAACTGCTCTTATTCAAAAAATATTATTTATTTATTCAGCTTTATAAATGTTCACAATGGTTCTTTGTCTCTTTAGCATACCATACAACAATGGCTTCTTCCATGGACTATCAGAAAATTGATTTGCATTAAAAATTATTTTATTA